CAAACCTAATATGAAGAATTATGAAATGGCAAAAGGCTTATTCATGTGTCACACAGCTAGGATATACATAAACTCTCCAAGTCACATGCAATTTTTGTTGAAGATTTACAGCAAACTAAAACCATGAGATTTAAGACTTTGACCTTATGAAGATCCCATAGGAAGACAGAGAATTCTAATAAAAACTGAATCAAAGGTTCATTTTTAACATTTTCTACAAACACCTATTAAACAAAACAATGTAGATAAAATCGCTCACCACAAAGTGAGGCAATTCTTGAATTACATGGAAGAAAACATTATTTGGTTGCTATTCATTGCCACCAAAATCAAAGCAATCATGGAGGAATTCTCGAAAGTTACCCACCAAAACTTAAAAACACAAAGGGCAGCCATCTGCAGTGATAAAACAGCACAATTCATCATTTAGGAACACTGATTATCAATTATTTATGTCTAGCACTTGTAGCCCTATTTTCCAAGTGCATAATTTATAGGGCAGGGAAGTGCCCAGTTCCTTAAGTAGAAGCAGCCATCTCTAATAATTTAAATTATTTACTGATGTACCATGGTAAAATATATTTTCCATGCATTAGGGATTATATGTTTGTTACATATTAGGTAAAATCAGAAAGTTTAAAGATGTTACATTGATGGACAGCATGCCCAAATGATTAATGAGCAAAGAATGGACAAAAGCAGCTTTGGTGTCTGGAGTTGGTCCAGGCTGAGCTCAGTATGGAACTACAGAGTTTTAGTACCTAGAAGAGCTCAGGTGATAGCTATGGGGCAGTGAAAGCCACAGACCATTGCCTAACAGGTGGTAGTGACTAAACCCAACAACAGAAGACCAGTAATGATTTGGCAGCTAAAGGGTAAAAGCAGGTGACAAGGTTCTATTAGAAATGCCCTTTTTTGCCATAATATTAAAAGAAAAGAAATTATCAAGAAAGATGTATAGAGCAAATTATAGTTTTACCGTGCATTAAAAATCAAGAATAGTAGTACACAAAAATCTAAAATTAAGATCAATAATTCAGGTTTTAAAAAAGACATTTCAGCAAACAGTCAATGCAAAATTCCTTTAAAAAGTTTATCTCAGGCTGGGCAGGGGAGCTCACGCCTATAATTCCAATGCTTTGGGAGGCTAAGGCAGGAGGATTGCTCAAGGCCAGGAGTTCAGGACCAGCCTAGGCAACATAGTGAGACAAGCATCACTTAAAAAAATTAGCTGGATATGGTGGTGTGTGCCTGTAGGCCGAGCTACCTGGGAAGCTGGGGCAAAAGGGCTGCTTGAGCTCAGCAGGTGGAGGCTGCTGGGAGCTATGACCATGCCACTGCATTCCACCCTGGGCCCTGGGTGACAGAGTCAGACACTAAGTCTCTAAAAAACTGATCTTCCTTTGTGTATTTAAAATACAAATATGATTTCATTTATGAAAAACTAATATAAGCAACTTTTCAGAAAAACATGCAGTGAATAATTAGAGATAGTTTTATACTTATAACTGGGAATGATTTCTTCAAAATCTCAAGGTGGCAAAAATGTTTACACTTTCAGTTAAAATTAGCTTGAACTCCTATTCAACCACTCAATTAATAATTAATTGACCACACCCATTTCTGAACTTTTGGCTCTTAGGTGGAAGATATATAAAATGTTTAAGATGGTAAGAATTAAAATAGAATAAGTTCCTCAAACCGTCATCAGTTAAAAGGAAAAATAAATTAAAGACAACCAAAAATGTGCTTTTCTTTTCTTAAATGAATCCTTCTAACAACTTGTCCTCCATAGACTAGAGAGAAAGAGCAAATCAATGATTTTGCAGGCTGAATAAAAAGCTTTCTGTCTGCTCACTCTTTCTAGAGAAACAGTGTATAGTTACGTAGAGATAACACACCAGCAGATACTAATACCAAACACATAAACAAGCCCCTAAAAAGGTGCCTTTTGGACAACTTGCGTCTATTTTTACTTCTTAATAGGATAAAATGTGCTTCAAAATCAGAATAATAAGGGAAAAAAATGTGCTTCAAAATCAGAATAATCTACTAAAATACTTTTTTGCCTATTTATTACTAGGAAAAACCATATATCACTAGTAGATAAACTTCAAGTTTTCCATTAGTAGTGAATTATAATTTCTTTTCTTTTTTAATTTTTTTTCCTGAGACAGAGTCTCACTCTTTTGTCTGTCTAGAGTGCAGTGGTGTCATCATAGCTCACTTCAAACTCCTGGGCTCAAGCAATTCTCCTGCCTCAGCTTCACAAACAGCTGGGACTACAGGTATGTGCCACACCCGACTGATTTTTTTCTATCTTTAGTAGAGATAGTGTCTCACTCTTGCGCAGGCTGGTCTCACACTCCTGGCCTCAAGCGATCCTCCTGCCTTAGGATCACAGGTATGAGCCACCGTGCCTAACCAGCTATCATTTCTTAATCAAAACTCTCGTATTCAGAATTCTTTCCAGTGTTTAAGAAGTCACATCAGAGATCTCCAAAATCATATTTAAACCATAAAGTGTGAGTGGGGAAGAGGAATTAGTGTTTATGAGTACAGAGTTTTAGTTTTATAAGGTGAAAAAGTCCTAGAGATCTGTTGCACAACAATACAACTATATGCACAGTATGCCTAAAAATGGTTAAGATGGTTAAATTTAATGTTATGTGGTTTTTACCATAAATAAATATCAAGAAAAAATAACACATAAGGTATGATCCAGAATGACCAACACTAAGATAAGATCAATAAAACTGTGAACTTAAAAGAAAAAAAGGAATCCAGAGAAAAAGTCAAATTATATAGAAAGGAAAATCAGGGTCATCAGATTTTTCAACTCAAACACTTTATGACATAAGACAAGGGGGAAATATCCCATTTATTTATTTGTTTTCTTTTT